TGCATATGCCCATAGTTGAATTGGCATGGAAGCCTGAGCAAGCAAGACTAGATCAAGTTCAATAAAGTACCTATGCTTACGCTCCACTACACCATTTTGCTATAAAGTATGTGGGCATGTGACTCAATAAGAAATGCCAGTGAGAACACGAGATAAGTGATGATATTCGCCTACCCAGTCACTTTGAACAACCAAAATCTTCAATCGTGTGCATGTATCAACAAAACTGACATAGTATCTATAACTATTCGAAACAACTGGAGATGGCCCCCATAAATCAATAAAGACAAGTTGAAACGGAGACTCATACATAATAGTTGAATCAGAAAAGGGACGTTTATGACTCTTTCCTATGTGACAAGCAACACAAAATTCATTAATCTTTTTCTCAACATTTACATTTATTGTTTTGCATATTTTCTCAAGGTTTCCATGTGCAAGATGCCCAAGGCATCTATGCCAGATATCATACAAACTATACGAGGTAACAACATTATTAACTTCAGCACGAGTACTCCTATCATCAACATAATCAACTTGACAGGAGTATAAGTCATTCTTCTCTCGACCCTACAACAACACTTCTCTAGTCTCTTTATCACAAACATAGAAACATGAGGCATGAAACTCAAAATACACACCATTGTCCCTAGCAAGCTTTGAGACCGAGAGAAGATTTTTTGTTATCTTAGGTACATAGAGAAGGTCATTCAACAACAACGCTCGTGAAGAACATAAAATAGATTTACCAATAGTTTGAATAGGAAAAAAAACTCCATTACCAACAATAAGTTTACCTGGACCCGAAAAATCCTTATGATTGATGCTATTAGATGAGTCAGGGGTTACATGATGTATAGCCCCAGAGTCAACCACCCAATGATCCCGTGAACTATTGGCAACATGGCTATGTGGCTGCGAGGAGTAACAAACCTGCACTTCAGCTTGATTCTTTGTACAACAAGAGCAATCTTCACCATCGATAGTAGCTGGCTCCAAGCTAGAGTAACTAGCCGATGCTGAGACATCATGAGAAGTAGTACGACCAGTCGTTTTACCAGAAAACAGTTGATCAAAATGATACAAATAGTTAACAACAAGATGACCATTTTTGCCACACAACTGACATTGAACACGTGGACGTCCACGACCATGACTTCCAATTCAACCTCCAATGCCAGATCCAGATCACCCAGAAGTGATTTTATGAAAACCATGAATTCCAGTCTTTGAACCAGAACTAGTCTGAGTTATATGAGCACTCATAGGAAGAGAATCATCCTGAGCATCGAATCCAGCAAGTTGCGTCTCTACATCAATTAACATTGAACATATTTTATCAAGTGATAATGCTTCTTTCATGGTGGTTATAAATGCGATGTATGGCTGATACTCTCGAGGAAGACCTTTAAATATGCTTGCAACATGCTCGGCTTGAGGAATCGTACTGTCATACGATGCTAATATATCACATACCTCTTTTATACGAGTGAGATACGTACGGATGCTATCATTCCCTTTCTTGAGAAACTGAAGCTTATAGTGCAGTCTGATAACCACCATGGTAGATTTATTTGCAAAGAATTGCAACACTGTGCTCCAGACCGCCGCCGCTGTCTCCGCTTTAACAAACTGGGACAGTAAATGAGGGCTGATCGTAGATAAAAACCAAGAGGCCAGATCACTATCTAACGTAACATACTTCTCATACAAATCATTCGACACCGATTCACCATGCTCATCAACCACCGTTGAAAAAAAGAGGATGAAGAGAACCAGTTAGCAAACGTTCTAACCGGTTACTACGAACAATAAGAAAATTTTACTACTTCCAAAGAAAAAAATGGACTCATCAACGATAATATTCACCTTATTGTTTGTGATGGTCTTACCAGTAGGGAACTCCATCAAACAATAAGACAATGCAGTAAAAAGCACAATTCCTTAAGAACAAATAGCGAATGATACCATGTTAAATATTGTAGAAACAATAAATGAGTAAAAGGAATTCATTGTGAATAATATTGTTTGCATTTACAATATACGATTACTTATAGCTCAGCTGTAACAGAATTCTTAATAGCTTCAAAACCGTTTCACACTAACAAACTACATTTAGTATCCCTACTACACATGTGCATAAACTGCATGAACTAATTCTTAACAGCTTCAACAGCTTCCAAATCGTTTTACAACAAACTAACAAACTGCATTTAGCAGCCCTACTGCACACGTGCATAAGTTGCATGAGCTATCTCAACACTCACAGTTAAGAACTTTGTGTTGTAATGCCCTTCTTGAGACTTCACAAACTCATGCTTTGTTAGTGGACGACTTACATCGATCTTGAACGTTGGATAACTGGAAAAGGCCATTTTCGGGGGTGGTCTAAGTTAAATTTGGATAGGAGTTAGGAACCAGGTAATGGTTTCACTTCTTGTAGTGGGGTTCTTCGAGACTGACATGGTCGTTGGTTGGTGGGCTATTACAATTTATCGATATTTATTTAGTGCTTGAAGATGAGTTATGGGGAGTCTTTTTTGGTTTATGGTTGCATGAGAGAGGGGCATTCGGCGGGTGGAGGCATAGGTTGATAGTATCTAAGCTTTTCATCTTCTTCAACCTAATTGTATTACTAAGGTTCTTTGATGATGATTGCTCAGATTAACTTACTAGTGCAAAGGAATATGTCTGTCTTTTTCAGTCATGTTTCTCGGAAAGGCAATTGTGTAGCTGATTAATTGGCTAGTCATACTACTGATGATGATTTTGGGGTCTATTATATTGAGCTTCCGTCATGAGGTTTTAGCATTATTAATGAAGGATGATATAGGTTCATCTGTTTAAGTTGGCTTTGTTGTTTATTTCTCGTTTCTTCTAAGGATTATGACCTACTCTTCTCCTCCGTTTAAGCTAGAGAGATTTTTAACGAGGCATCTATAGCACTTTAATCCAAAAAATATATATAAAAAGTTGTTATTCATTAATCTAAAATGTCACTTTATTCTTTTTAATAAAAATTAATAATATAACAATTATTTTATAATAAAATTTTAAAAAATATTTATAATATTTATAATTTTAATTTTAAAAATATTTTAACATAATTTCATCATCATTAATTATTTGGGTAAAGTACATATTCATCATCATTAATTATTTGGGTAAAGTACATAAATGATTTTCTCATTATAGGGTGTTACTTTGTTGAGTCTTTCGACTATTAAAAGTTATAAAATGATCATCCAATTGTTCATATGTTCAAAACTTGTCATTTTTAAAAAAATTAGTGACAATATGAGTTGGAAGTAAGTAATTTGATTGAGATATGATAGTCATTTGAGATTTTAGAAACATATTTTGTCATATCATATTCAACGTGTTAACGTCTGACTGATATTACCATCAATTTTTTAGTAGAAAAAGAATGATTTTGAAATATATGAATAGTTATATGAACATTTTATAATTTTTAATAATCGAAAAACTCAATAAAATAATGTTCTATAATTAGAAGATAATTTTACAACCTTTAATAGTTAGAAGACTTAACCAAACAACACAATATCATTTTAAAAAGAGAAAATAACCTCAGTGACCAAAAATGCCTTATAATATACGATTTTAACCAACTTTTTTTGAATTTGCCAAAATGACCAACTAAATCGCAATGCGATCGATAATTCGCAACGCGATCTCCGGTATTGCAAATCAGTTTCCAGATTCGCAACGCGATTCTGACTATCGCATTGCGATTTCCTAAATTCGCGTTGCGATTTTCCTAATTCGCAATGCGAATACGTAAATCGCAATGCAAATCTGTAAATCGCAACGAGATTCTGACTATCGCAATACTGAATTTCAAATTCGCAACTCGATTTCTGAATTCGCAACAGGTTTTAATTTCGTAACACAAATGTTTTGGGTATATAACTACGCAGCAGCAGCAACTCATAACCTAAATCCCTAAATCGCAACTCATTCCATCTCCATCTATCACTCTCTCCGGCGACATCCGTTCTTATATCCAACGACATCATTCCCCATCCGGCAACATGTTTTAGTTTCGCAGCTCTTTTGTTTAGTAAATTAATTTACAATAATGAAATCATCTAATGTTGATCATGTTTGGATAGATTTGTGTTTTGGAGGGTCATGGGAGAATGTTCATGGTGTTTTACAATATATGTCTTTACCCATGAATCTTCAACTAAAACTGTCATTAAAAAAGTTAACTTATGAAATTCTAATGTTACGTGTTGCAAATAAATTGAATTTAGAGCCCCTAAGTGGATTTAGGCTATCTTATCAGAGAAATGGTAAAGTTTATTTGTTAACCGACAATGAAGATGTTGAACGATTCATTGCTTACATTAGTGTTTCAAGTGATGATGTTACATTGTATGTTGTTGAACCTAGAAGTAGTGAAGTTGGGTCAGTGTTCCGATAATTAATATTCGTGTTTGGAATTTGAAAATAAAATACGCGTTGCGATTTTACATATTGTCGTTGCGATTTACGGATACGCATTGCGATTTACATATTCTCGTTGCGATTTACATATTCTCGTTGCGATTTACAGATACGCGTTGCGATTTACGTATTCTCGTTGCGATTTACGGATACGCGTTGCGATTTTACGTATTGTCGTTGCGATTTACGGATACGCGTTACGATTTTACGGATACTCGTTGCGATAGTCAGAATCGCGTTGCGATTTATATGTTCGCGTTGCGATTTTCATATTCGCGTTGCAATTCTGGAAAATCGCAATACGAATTTGTACTATCGCATTGCGATTCTTCATAATCGCGTTGCGATTCTGGGAACTGATTTGCGATTCTGGAGTTTGCGTTGTAATTTTTATTTCGCATTGCGATTTTATTGGTTATTTTGGTAAATCCAAAAAAAAAATGATTAAAATCGTATATTATAAGACATTTTTTGTCACTGAAATTATTTTCTATTTTAAAAAACCATATTTTACAAAAGAGAAGAAAACAAACAAAATAAAAAAAGGACACAAGTGAAGAAGGAAAGGAAAAAAAAGGGGGATGGGTCATGGGGGAATGTGAAGAACGCGTCATGTAGTTAAAGCAACGAACGCGGCGTGTGATCAGATGATATATCCTCCTTCAACCTTACACTCCTTTTTCTCTCCTTTGTCTCCTCCTCTTGTTTCTCTCTTTCAATTTCTGTTTTCCCCCTTCTAATTTTGGCCACCGTGTCATCTTAACATCAAAACATATATATACATATTGTATATACGCACACCACTTCTTTCCTTCTAAGAGCCATGACTGGCAGAGAAATCCTCAATAAGATGAAGGTATCGCCTTTCCTTTCTGTGTTTTCTAAAAACCCTTTATTTGTCTGGTTAGACTTAATCTGTTGATTATACATATATATGTGTGTGTGTGTGTGTATTTAGGATCTAAGAAGTGAACTTTGGACCTTGATTAACAATAAATTAAGGATGGAATTTGTATGGTATTAGATTATCTTCAAATGGGTTATGATTTATCTAAGAACCCATTTTTTATTTTTGGATTATCTTCAGTTAGTTTATGGTGACTTGATTTGATAAATTTGGAAGAATTGGATGTTTTGGATCATTTTACTGAAATCATAGGACCAAATTGAAATACCCTTTTTTTCATTTTTGAAAAATTTAACCCATTTCCAGCACAATGCTTTGCCGTTGATGTCATGGTTATCTTCATCAATGGTAATTTCTATGTAACTTGTATAAATTTACTGTTTATTAATCTGTTTATATTGGTTTACCGCAGGAAAAAGTTCAAGAAAAAGTTGGCATAAACCCTTCCAATGCTGATTCTGGGAAAGGGAAGAGTAAAATGTCGAAGAACATAACACATGGTTATTATTTAATCAAGGGGAAATCGAAACACCCTATGGAAGACTACGTTTTTGCAGAGTTCAGGCAAGTTGACGACATCGAGCTCGGTTTATTTGCCATATTTGACGGTCATTTGAGCCATGTTATTCCCGATTATTTGAAGACGAATTTGTTTAAAAATATCTTGAATGAGGTAATCTGGAATGTCTGTCATAAACTGGATCTTATCTTATAGTCTCCTACAATTTTTGCTCTTGGTTTTGACTATGTTTCTGTTTCGTTTTCGAGAGCAGCCTAACTTTTGGACAGAACCGGAGAATGCGATTAGGAAAGCGTATGATGTAACCGATACAAATATATTGGAACAGGCCATTGATTCGGGCAAAGGGGGTTCCACAGCAGTGACGGCAATATTGATCAACTGCCAGAAGCTGTTAGTAGCAAATGTTGGCGATTCTCGGGCTGTGATATGTAAGAATGGTGTGGCTAAACAGCTTTCAGTTGATCATGAGCCTGCTTCCGAAAGGGAGAGCATCGAAAATAGAGGTGGTTTCGTTTCGAGCTTTCCAGGTAATGGGTGCCAATCTTATTTTCTACTTCATTTGGAAACTACATTAACAATTCGATCACCACTATCGAATGTTGTTTATACGGAGTTACGGACACCTTCATGTTTTTTCTTTTGGTTTCAGGGGATGTAGCTCGTGTTGACGGTCAGTTGGCTGTGGCCAGGGCGTTTGGTGACAAGAGTTTAAAGAAACATCTTACCTCAGAGCCGGATGTGACCACTGAAACGATAGATGATGAGACCGAGCTCGTAATATTGGCAAGTGATGGTTTATGGAAGGTCAGCAGTGCTTAGCACATTTTTATTTTATTGAAACTGCACATTGTAACCATGATTTAATGGTTTGTTCCTTCGAAATTCCAGGTTATGTCGAACCAAGAAGCTGTCGATGCCATCAAAGGCATTAAGGACGCTAGATCTGCTGCAAAGCACCTAACTGAGGAAGCTGTTAATAGGAACAGCAAGGATGACATTTCCATCGTAGTTGTAAGATTTTAGTGATCTGTAAGTGTGTCTGACTTCTCTTGTTTCTGTTTGATCGATTTCCTTTCGAACCTTTGTCATGTTCGAGAATGCTTATGCATATTTTGTGTCGGTACCCGAAGCTTTCTACACTAAACTGTAATGAAGTTGTATAAGAATCAATGAAACTAATGAAGCTGTCTAAGAAGTAATGAAACTGAAGTTGAATTTGTATCATTCATCAAAGCTTACCCTTTGTTTCAGTGGTTCAGCTGATAGGATATCTATTCTGCCATTAAATTTCAGAATTTGTATTCAAAAATTGGGATTTCCCTCGGATAATCGGATATTAAGTCCGATACCTGACATTGTAATGAAACCCTCCATCATAGTATAGAAACTTAAAACTATTAGATACTGCAAGAGATGAAGAATTGGTTGACAGAAGATAGGGGGAGCTTAAGCTGATGATGTCTTGGTCCTTAAGCTCCTTATCTGACCTGAGAATGATAATGAATTGCTCGGGATTGATACGGGAGCACTGCCTCTTTGAGCATCAACCTGCCTTCAATAACACCCTTTCAATTGTGGAATTGCGCCTTTCTGACGGCCACTTGCCAGATGGTTCAGCAGGGTTCCTTCTGCACCTTTCTTTGTGTCTGGCCAATTGCCTCCAGCAGCTCCGTTTTATACTTAAACGGCCACAACCGGCGACTTAGCATGAGTCTTCCACACCTTATGGTACCTGCGATGAGCAGGCGATGACACCTCATCGCCGGGCCGCCTCTTCCCATGTATCCTCTTCTCATCAAATGGAGAAGGAAAACCATGAAATTGAAACCTGGAGTTTCCATGGAAGGAGAAAAATAAATAATGGGAGAGTGGTAAAGAAATGTTGAGATCAAAGTTTGTAGGACTCTGAGAAGTCGATTATAATCTAATATAGGATTATAGGAAGCTGAGGACTTCACGGTTAACATGCTAATCTAACAAACTCCATAGCATGTAGACAGAAACTAAAAGCCTTTTACATGATAAATTTGAAAAAGTAACGCTAGCCCAGGGGTGTTAACTGAATTGCACAGTTTGTGAACAGTTCAATTCGATTTGGTTAAAATTTAGTTAATGTTTGACCCAAGTTTACACTATTTAAATTCAAACTTGACTCGAGATTTTACTGAGTCAAATGGAGTAATATCTAATTCAACCCAATAAGTTTTTTTAATTTTTTTTTGAATGTGATTGACTTATTTTTATTATTGGTTATTTATTGTAAAACTATTTTTTTAAGAATGGTCATAATATTTTAATTTAGTGAATTTATGGATTGTTACTTTGATTGTAATATTTAATTTGATATATTTGTATTGTTGTTTTGGATTTTAGATTTAAGAAAATCTTTACATACTATTTTGAGATTTTTTTTAATAAATTTGTTGATTTATGTTTATATTAAACTCTATATAATATTATTAGATTATATATATTAAAAAAATAAGATAAATTCTTACGAATTTAATGAGTAAAGAGTTTTTAATAAATACGAATTAAATAAAATTTTATCGAGCTTAATGAACACTAAGCACCTAAGAGTAAAGGAATGACAACGATATTTGAAAATTCTTGGATTTGGATTGTGTCTGGATTCGGTTATAACTTATAATATGCTGATATTTACCTTCAAATATTCATGAGTTCATTTTACTTTTAGGGCTTTTTCGATTAAATGATATCTAAAGTCTTCTTATTTTTTTTTCTTTTTTTAAAACTAATGTGATATCTTAGTATTTTGTGTTTAATATTATCCTCAAACCAAGAAAAAACAATCAATTTGATTTTTTAATTAACGAAATAAAACATTTACTGTTATAATGTAAAAAATCTATTTAATCTAAAGAAATCGAACGTTTACTATTTTAAAAACTGAATTGCGAATTTGACAAATTCGTGTTGCGAAATGTAAAATCTCGCCTCTTAAAGAAAAAATCATTTCGACAGTTCGTTTGTTTAGTTAAAGTTAAACGAACGAACGAACATGAACATACCCTCGTTCGTGTTTGTTCAATTCATTTACAGGCGTAGGTTTAGCTGAGTGATTCATACGTTGCGAAATTCGCGTTGGGAAAATTTCTATGTTCGAGTTGCGAATTCTAATTATGTGTTGCGAATTAATAAAAAAATATTTTATTCAATAAAAACAGTGACTTAAAAAACCCCTAAACCCGACCCGAACCCTAAACCCGACCCGAATATCAAACTTAAAAAAACCCGACCTGAACCTGAATGTTTTATAAAAAAATCTGAACCGATTCCGATTTTTTTTTAAAAAAACTCGACCGACCCGAATATCACACTTAAAAAAACTCGACCTGACCCGAACATGAAATATTTTGAAGGGTAGTATGGTCAAATTTTACATTACCTCCTCCAAATGATTTCAATTCCATCATGTTATGGATGAAATTTACTTTCTCTCATTTGATGGAATTGAATTCCAATTGCCTCATTTGAAAACTTAAACCAAACATAGGAAAGTGGTGGAATTGGATTCCAGCAAATCAAACGCCACTTTAAAGGTTAATATATTATTTAAAATTTTAAAATAAAAATTATTTAAAATTTTAAAAATAAAAGTATTAAAAAGAAGTAAAAAAAAATCGAATCTCCAATTAATCAAAGAAGAGCTGAAACTAACCATCTAACCAACTAATTCACACAGCAGAAGATGAGAGATCAATTAGTTATTTCAAGAAAACTAGTCCAATTCGAAACATATTGAAATACCATATTGATTTTCAGTCGTAGTATCCCCTTCCAGACCATACGATGTTGTATCTATAGTAGGGTGTACTTATTGAACAAATTAATCGACTTAGCATGTGTTCGTTAAAAAAATTTATTGTTCAATTTGACTCATTGTTCGTTAAGTTTGTTAAAATATTATTTTTATTCGTGCTCATTTAAAAAAATTATCACTCGTCCTGTTACTCATTAAACTTATTTTTCATTAAGGTCACTGCAACTTTTACTTTATTTTCTTAATTTTAGGTAAAATCTACTAATAGTATAAAGAACTATAAACATAAATTACTAAATTTAACTAAAAATTATTAAAAGAGTACGAAGTAATTTTAAAGTTTAAAGTTTAAAATTTAAAATAACGATCTAAAAATAAATTAAAATAATAAATAAGTTTGATTTTCAGATATAATAAAATATTAATACATAATTTAATATTTTTAATTATTTATTAGAAAATAATTTATTAATAGTTTATCATTTTTCTATTATCTATTAATATATTTTTTAGATGAATAATTTGTTAAGATAATTATTAAAAAGTTATATTAAAAATATTAATGAACTGCTTAGACTCTAATTAAGTTATCTCGTTAATATCTTGAATCGAGTTAAATTGAAATCTAATTAAGTTACCTCGTTAAGATCTTGAGTCGAAATTAAATTCGAGTTGAGCCAATCTAAATCAAATCGATTTTTTACGAGCCTCGAGCAGCTCGAACTCATTGAGCACCCGTAATTTATACCCAGTTCTAACATAACGGGACAAAACCATTTTTATTAAGGTTAATTAGTTGGACGTGGTTTATCATACCCTCCTGCTTTGGCTCTCAATTCCTCAACAGCTTTATCATATTCATTTTTATCATCATTCCCACTCGCACTTTCCTTTACGACTTATGCAGTATCTTTGGCCGCTTTCCAAGCTCCATTACGGTCTCCTTTGCTGCATCCCCATGTTTGCCTCCATCTCCACCACCTTTGGCGGATCCAGGAATTAAACAATGGGGTCCAAAATAAATATTATAATATTTATTAATAAAAAAATTACATTATTAAAAATCCAAAATAACAATTCATTCAAAATGCACAAAAAAATACTAAACACTAGAAACAATTACAATTGTTCTCGGCGAGCTTTCATTCCTTGAAATCGTTTCAAGATTTTTTCATCATCGATTTGGACAAGAACATCTCTTTCTATATAAGTGACCAAACAATCATTTAGAAATTGATCACCTATGCTATTTCGTAACTTATTCTTCACGATGTTCATTTTAGAAAATGCTCTTTCCACACTTGCAGTTGCTACAGGGAGAATCAATACCAACTTTATGAGCAAATAGACTTGTTGATACACTTGATGCTGCTTTGTCTCGACAAGCTTCATGGAAAGTTCACCCATATCTTTCAATACCTAAAATCTATCATCCCTCCGAATATCAACAATATAATTATCAAATTGATCATCAAGGGCTAGTCTATCAACACTTGTAAATTCATCGGGATATAATTCAGCAAGTCTAAGTATCTTTTGTTTGTCAAAAGAAGAAAATTTATCAAGTGGACTCAAAGAAGCCATACAAGTCAATAACTCTATACTAACCTCATCAAATCGGTTGTTTAACTCTTGAAGCTGAAGATCAATAACTCCCAAGAACACTTCAATTCGAAAATGATGAATATTAGTAGTATCCAAACGACAACGTTTCTTTCTTCCCGGAGGAGTATACACAACATCCATATTAAGAATATCAATGTTATTCTTGTTACAAAATGAAGAGATTATAGCAAAAAAAAGACTCCCACTCGTTTTCCCTCATATTTTGCAATCTTTCTTTAGTTAAAGTAACAAGTGACATAGCATTGACAATATCTTGATCTTTTCTCTGTAAAGATTTGTTTAATTCATTCATAATCCCAAATATTCTCTTCATCAAGTGACTCATGAAAATGAAATCAAATGACTCTATTGCAAAACTCACATTATCGGCTTTTCTAGCATCACCACCATTTCGAGCATCGTTACCAATCAAATCAAGCACCTCCCGTATTGTAGAATACAAATCAATGACATTCAAAATCAACTTATAATGAGACCCCCAACGTGTATCACCCGGCCTACCTAAACCAAGCTCTTGGTTTAAACCTTTTCCAGTCACAATTTCACCATTTTCAAAGGCTTTTGCAAATTTTTCAGCTTGTTTTCCTTTAAGCAAATCTTTTCGCCCACATGATGATCCAACAACATTCAACAAATCTCCAAGTGTATAAAAAAGCCAACCACAATCTTTATTTTTCTTAGAAACAACAACAAGAGTTAATTGAAGTTGGTGAGAAAAACAATGTATATAGTATGCATATTGTGTTTCTCTCATGATTAGAGTTTTGAGACCATTTAGTTCACCCTTCATATTACTAGCTCCATCGTACCCTTG